GGTGTGCTCCCTCACAGACCTTACTGCCTAAAGCCACAAAAGGAGAGGCTTCTCTGACCGCTCTAGCTTCTTCTTGAAGAAACATTTTGAAAGGCTGCTGAATTCAAGCTGAACTGGACATTCTAGTATATTGTATACATGTAGCATGAAAATTTTAAGAATAGCTTTTAAAAAAGAATTTAGATTTTTGCTCTCTTCTGTTACAGTTACATTTGTCATTTGTTCATTGTTTTAAACACCTTAAACAGAGATTTCAATGCACCTTTGATGCTATTGGGGTTTTAAAATGTGAAATATTTTATTCTTATGTCATTTATATATGGAATTAAATATATATTCTTTGAATATTCATTCCCAACCTCAAACTCAGTTACAAAGAAAAGTAAACAATCCTTTCTTTACTGAGTGTCAAGTAAATGCTAATGATTACTAGTTAGTTAGAAGCCAGTTACACTAGAGTTCTCTGTGATGTTATACCATGGTTTACTGAGACATGCCGCTCTTGAGTCTGTTTGCTCAACAGAATTTTGGGTGGTTGTATGCTTCTCACCATGTGATGTCAGACTGTGTGCTGTTTGGTCCTCTCTCCTTCTGTTTCACTGGGCAATACTATAATTTATTTTCAAGATTTAAAATCACTAACAATATGTAAGCATCAAATCCTTACATATAAATGATTAACTGAATTCGTTAACAGAATTAAACTAAGCCTAGAATGGTAGAATATTCACTTTACAGTGTGTCTGCACTAAAGCTCACCATTTATATACATGCTCAGGAGTGTAATGTATGTACTCGTGAAAACATAGTGAATTAAAACTGCCTTTAGATTATTGAAAAGCCTTGAACAGATTTTGAAAATACCCTCTTCTAACTGTTCTTTAAATGTTTCCCTTGGTTCATGGCCAAATGTATTTCTGAGCTTCCTTTTTATCCCTGAATGGGAGCTAATTCTATTTCCTCTTCTACCTTTCTCAGAGAAATGCTGTAAGAATCCGACATCATAATAACTTCTAAAGTACTTGGAACGAAACACAGTCATGTGATTAGAAGCTGGTTACACATGTGTGGTTACTATTGTATGCACTACATGGATAATAACACTGGCTGCCATCTCCTGAGTGCTCAGGCAGGCTAGGCCAGATGCTCTTCTGCACACCATGTACTATGAACTCATCTGTTTCTTATCATGACACAATAAGAGCTACTGTTCTGTTCATTTTACAGATAAAAAGTGATAAACAGATAAGCATCTTGGTCAGATAAGCATTCTGACCAAGATCGTACAGCCATGAATGCTGAGGCCAGGGTTTCACCAGTTGGGCTCCAGAGTGATAACCAAACAGTAGAATATAGTAGACTGCTGTCAGATGGAGGAGCTTATTCTCCTTGGATCTGAGGGCAGCCTGTATATATTACACTACTAAGCATGCATATGATAGTGTGTTTAGTACAGACACACTGTAAGATGAGTTCTCTACCATTCTAGGCTTAGTTTAATTCTGTTAACAGTTTCAGTTAATCATTTACATGTGAGGATTTGATGCTTACAGATATTTAGTGATTTTTAGTGATTTTTAAATATTGAAAATAAACAGTAAGGTATTGAGTTTACCACTCTCACAGCCATTATTCTGATCTTTTAAGAATTCTTGTATAATCCAGTTTCAGATCAGTCAGACATGCATTTGTGGTTCTGTACTGCTATGGATGGTGTGGACTTTGCTAGTAAGACATTTTCCTAATGTGACTGTAGGTTTCATAATATATGAGTTCCCAGAGAGAGTCTCTGTGTCTATCCATAACGTTCCTCTACAGTTAGTGACAACTCTTAAGTTTGCATGCTACTATCTTTTCATTAATGTGATCATTAACTGATGTTCATTAACAGAATTTTCTGTTAACATTGTCTGCCAAATAGTATGAAACATACTTCAAATAATAAACCATTATGTGAAATCCCTTTAGCCCTGTATTACCCAATATGAGCAAAATTGTGGTAGAGACCAAGATTATCTTGTTTTTATTTTGAAAGGCCTACAGTACGCAGCCTTTCTCCAGGACAGCAGCCTCAGACAAGGTGAACTAATTTTGCACTATGTTGTTTTACTTTAATTCTGCCAGTTGGTTTGTTGTTTTTTGTTTTTGTTTTGCTTTGCTTTGGTTTTTGTTTTTGTTTTTTAATAGAGCTCTAGCTTGTTTAGATCAGCTCAGTTAGTTCTTTCTAGACTTATGTGTGAAGACTGTACTATCTTACACTGTTTCCAGTTTTGAACTCTGTGTTAGGTGTTAGTAGACTTGCTCTTTAAGGGCATTCTTGTTCTAAAGTGTCATTTTGCACTTGCTGCTAAATAGGCTGTTTCCAGAGCATCTGATGACATCTGGTGGCACCTAGTACAAATGTAACCTCAGCTTATTGGCATATGGTACTGATGGGTGGCAGCCTCACAGTTTAAATGATTTCTGTTTACTACAGACAAACTGGAGGCAGCTTGGTCTATGGTCTACATGACTCATGTATACCTCAGAAAATTTTAATGGATTTTCGAATCCAGTTACTTTTATGCTTGACTTTTGTATGTTTTGTGTATTATGAATAGCTTTTGTCATGATTAAAATAACAAGAAGCATTGTCATCATGTGGGTATATGATGAAGTTAGTAATATCCATTGTAAAAGCATACCCAAGCCAGGCATGGGAACATATGCCTGTAATCCTAGCACTAGAGAGTCAAATCTGTGAGTTCCAGGCCAGCCTGGTCTACACAGTGAGTTCTAGTCCTGTTACAGTGAGTTCCAGTCCTGTTAGTGAGCCACTGACTTTAAAAACAAAACAAAACAAAAAAACAAAAAACAAAAAATAAAATAAAATTAATTAAATTTAAAAGTTTCTGCACTTTGCTTCATTTACCTTATAGTTGTATTCCTGCAATTATTTTTTAAAGTATAGAGTTAAAAGTGTAGAGTTAGGTAACCCCACAAGGACAGATCCATTCCAGTGTCTGTTTCAGAAGTAAGTAAAAAGCATGGGGTGAAAGGAGGGAGTAGTGAAGTAGAAAAGCCGGAACTGTGTTCTTCCTCCCTTTAACATCCCAGGATCTACTGTTTGACCCATTGTAGGAAGATGAATTAAAATAAAAACATTAAATCCTGAAGGTTGACAGATTTTATTATTAAGTCAATATAACCATTAATCTCTTTAAGATATTTCCAAACAGCTGTAAGAATTAAATCCTGTGTTTTAAACCTAGAACAAATTCTTTAGTTAAAAAATGGAATAGAAGCGGGCAGTGGTGGTGCTGCACGCCTTTAATCCCAGCACTTGGGAGGCAGAGGCAGGCGGATTTCTGAGTTCGAGGCCAGCCTGATCTACAGAGTGAGTTCCAGGACAGCCAGGGCTACACAGAAACCCTGTCTTGAAAAACCAAAAAAAAAAAAAAAAAAAAAAGGAATAGAATTTTGAAACCTATTTTTATTATATTTATATATATTTAATATATTACAATTTTGAATATGAAAATGAAAAAGATACTATACAATGTATGTATGAGATGTCTATCTGAAATAGGTATATCAGTGACTAATTTTGATTGAGCTAAGTACTATATACATGTCTTTGTGGTGTCTCTGAGTCAGACATGGTAGTGTAGTTTTTTTTTTCTCAGTTTTTGTAAAATTAGAGTTTGCAAGGGCTTTAGTGAGGAACCAAAAATGTTCCTATTTTTCCTTATTGTTCTGGTCAGTGAAGACCATCAATTTCTTAATGAAACATAAACCCAGAAAGTTTACATTTCTAGAGAATTGACTACTCTGCCCTGGTCATGACTCAGGGTGTGGGTTGGAAGGCATACATTTTGAACATAACTGACTCTGTGCTATTAGTGAGTGGCTAGTGACATTTACATGTGGCCGAAGTAGTCAGTGCTTATTGATTGCTAGTTTGAACCCCATTTGTTAGGATAATATTAGTATCTGAGAAAATGAGGAAGCCACTCACATCCTTGGAAAGAATGCAGATATACATACAAATAATTGGTAACTGAACCCAACTGTGGAATGTCAGGATCCCCACGGAAGTAGCCTTGGTGGTGTTAGCCTCCATTTTCCCTTTGTTCATTTGAGCTTCATTTCACGCCAACAAAACAAGGTCAAGACTTAATCTTTACTCTGAAGTGTGATTTTAGGAAAAGGGAAGAGGAACGTTTATAAAGAATGAATTCTAAGCTAAGAGCAAATCTAGCAGTCTTCTTGTTATATATTCAGCCCATCCTGGCTGTACAGAGACCACAGCTCAGACGTGTCGAGTCTTGTCAGCTTCCCTGGTTGCTAGGACTAGACATACCGGGGGTCGGGCCTTCATCTTCTTGCTTTATGTGGTAATCAATCTCTTTTAGATGGTATGACAAAATCTTTAGTTTCACATTTTCAGTTTATTTTTCTAAATTCAACAGATCCTGAATATTTGGTGACCTGTCAGGACATGGGCATTTTGATTAGCTGTTATTTTCAGTTAAGTATCGAATACAGTGGCTGAGAGACAAGCATAGTGAGTGCCACTACTTGTGACTGCATCTGTCCCCGCAGCATGTCAACACTCATTTTGTAAGCTGTAGAAAGCAGGACAAAACTCAGGTTTGTTTGTTGGAAATATAAAGCCCCCGGTTGATGTGAGGCACTTAGCTTATAATAGACATTATTCCTTAGATTCTAGTTTTAAGTGAAAGATAATATTAGACCTGGGATTGGCTCTGGGCATAATTTACTTTGGAGTTGTTTGCTATCAGCTCACCATAAGGTATTTCTGAGTATTGATGCTACATAGGAGAGAACCAAGTTTTAAAGAAGTAAATTTCTAGGTATTTTCTCTCTTGTTTTAACACATTAAATGTCTTAAATTGTTTATAATGCCTAAATTGTGATGGACTTTAGTTTCAATTTTGTTCTTAGTTATTGAAGATATTGACAAAATGTCATACAAAATTATTTTGTATTTTTTGTAGGACTGGGAAACAGAAACTCATGACTGGTATTGTTTTGAATGCCATTTGCCTGGAGAGGTGTTGATATGTGACCTGTGTTTTCGTGTGTATCATTCCAAGTGTTTGTCTGATGAGTTCAGGCTTAGAGACAGCAGTAGTCACTGGCAGTGCCCAGTTTGCAGGGTGAGTACCTATGAGCTTTCATGTGCTGGTCAGAGGGTTGAAATTAATGAATATTAGTGTCACCAAGATGCCCCAGGTGGTCTTGCCAGGTGAATGATAAATCCTGGAGGGTGGGGGTTACCTGCTGAAATGACCAACAGATGAACACAACACTCATAAATGGGCATCGCAGAGCACACCCCATGTCTCAGGGTCTACATTTTAGAGAATTTTAATCACATAGAAATATCTTCTCTTCACATATTTTATACCTATTTCTAGATCATGTGACTGCTTTAAAAGCTAGCCTTTCAGAATATGAACTGTTTGCCACATCGAGGTCTGTTCAATGATGATTTTGTAATACGTGGCAGAGTTGATGCTACCGAGCACACCTCAGCAACAGGCACAGTGTTGGAGTGCTCTTGATTAGCTTCCCATCTCATAGCTGGAAGGTGCTTTTTCTTCCTGTCCTCATGATGTGGTTTATTTTTTGCTTATATTTTCTGTGGAGGGTGAAGGGATGGTACAGTTGCACACTAAGAATTTTAATTAAAGTAAAATGATTGTGCGGTTGGTAAAATACATATTTTGCACAATAATTTCCTCACTGAAGAATGTGCATGATGTGAGATTGTAGTGTGTCTGTATATGAGCGACGTGTGCTGACTAAATACTGTACTCCCAGGGCACTGATGGCGAAGGTACAGACTTGTCTGATTGCTTTATAATTTGTTTTATAATTTGTGTCGCTCAGCTACATAGCTGGAACCACTGCATTGGTTGCCTGTAAGGTCCGATTCTGAGTATGCCTCAAATAATGCTTCAGTCATTGGAATGTTTATTTACTTTCTTAAAACTTTTATTTTTACTATTTTCTTTTTTTTTTTTTTAACATTAGTCAAAGATTTCATCTGGATATGATCAGTGAGTGTCCACACCTCTTAGTCCTCCATAGTAACCCAGTCGTTGGTTACCTCAGCCTTCTTCACACGGGGTTTCCTCAGTTACTGAGGTCTTGATTACTTGAGCCCATTTAGCTTTTAAAAAGTAGACAAAAGACAGTTAGGATAGCATTAAAAAAAAAACCTGCTTGAAGGGGAATTATAAGGAAATATGAGAAGGAATCAACAAATAAATCTGGCTGTATCAGTGTCAAGGCTGAGGTTGGAGATTTCTTCCAGATGTTTAAAGCACATGCTGTCCACAGGAAAGTAGTGCAGGCATGGCCTCAGCCACCATTCTAAGCAGGGGCTATGTCACTTGAGTTCTGTGTTCATGGATTTTGATCATGCTTCTTAAAAGCAAATACATATCTCTTATCTTTTAGGAAATAAACCTTGACCTCTCACAAGGAAGAGCTGGGCCTGGTGGCACAGGCCTGTAACCCAGCTACTCAGGATTGCTGGGCCTACAGAGTAAATTCAGGGCCATCCTAGGAAAACCAGAGAGGCCCTGTCAGCAAAAACCAAGCAAGCCAGCAAGCAAACAAAACTAAAAGAGGACTTTTATATATAGCTCAGCAGGAGATTCCTGACAAGCTTTCTTAGCATGTGAGAGCCTGGATTCAACCCCTTGTCCATAACCCCAAGGAGAAAAGACAAAGGAGTAAGGTAGTAAGAACAGCGAGCGAGCCAGCGACAGAGACACCTGACCATGCCTTCAGGTTCTTACACTTCATATTCAGTTCTTATTGTCATAGTAAAGGGTTTCAGTAAAAGTACTGAGTGAGAGTTTTGAGGTAGCTTGAGCACAATGGGGGAGGGTTGCATTCTTTAGATAAGAGATAGAGATGGAATCACACTTTGAAGAAAATAGTATGTATGAAGTTCTGTTTCTTGTCCACAGTTGCTCTGCTGAGTTCTGATTAGTTGTTTGCTTGTTTGTTTTCAACTTCATTGTTAATTGACTGAGAAATGCATGGCCACCTCATTTTATTTTTGTTTGTTTTTCCTTGCTTAGTTTAGATGCTTTTATCATATGAGGATATGATTGTACTTATGCAATGATACTGTAAGTCATTAAAAAAAAAACCCTGTAAATTATGTGTTTATAAGACTCAGGAATCCCATGCTTGAGGCTGAATTTGGGAAATTTTACTTTTAGCTCTGAAGCCTCCAAAGAAACCATCACTTCTAAGGTCTGTTGTTTTAATAGTTATGTTCAAGAAAAAAGATAATTGGTAGTGATTATTTTTCTAGTATGAAAAGGAACAATAACCTTAAAATTATAATGACAATTTAAATGTTTATCAGTTGAAATAATTAATGTAGTTTTTAAAACAAGACAAAAATTCTATAAAAGTCATGTTTAATATTTAACAAATGAATGTCCAGATTGAAATATTCTTGAACTCAGGGAATTTGAGGATCACAGACTAAAACCCTAAAACTGTGGTTCCAATCAGAGTCAACTTTCCAATCTCTTTCCCTCTAATGTTTGGGGAATGTTGGATAATTACACATATAAACAAGGAATTTTGTAGAGAAGAATCTTATTTCCAGTCAGGCAAAAATAGAACAGAAGCCAATCATTACTACAAAGATGTAAGGTTAAAGCAGCCATGTCTCTAGTAAGTGGTAGAGATCTACAGACTTTATTGTACCGTAGGCCCCAGGTACAAAAAGAAAGAATAGTAGCTCATGAACATCTGTCTAATTAGATTTTACTTTGAGAAAAATGTTCTCTGCATCTAGTTATACATTCTTGTTCCTGTGACGTGATTTAGAAAAAGTTTTTAAAAATGATTTTAAAAACTTTGCAGTAAACTATTCAAGTAACATAGAAATAAGAAAAGCAAAGCTCACAGAATTCCTTTTCTGTAGGTGATGCTCTGTGTATGAGTTATGTGCATTACTGGGTATGGTCAGCTTGTCTCCAAACATTCTGTGTGTAGAGCTTACAGGAGAGAAAAGGACAGGTCCTTCATCCATCCGACCAGGTCTTACACGTGTGCCTCTGTGTGCCACCCATCACCCTGCACAGACAGCTCGTCACAGATGCGCTCAAGGTGCTGTGTGAATCATGCTCAGCATTGTGCAGTTTTTTTTATCTGCCATTTGGTTTCTGTCAGTTGTCTCATCTCTTCATTTTCATTATCATTTCCAAATTATGAAGTAATTTCCCTCTTGGTGCCATACTTTGTGGTAGGCTTGTATGTGTGCGTCTGTGTACTGTATTCTTATCAGCCTGCTAGCTTCTTGGGAAAAAAAAATCACAGGACTGTTTGAGTGATACCTATAAACATTATTTTTGGACTAAGGAAACTTGGAATCAGAATAAAATCAGGAACTATGGTTCCAGTCAGAATCAATTTTCAGTTTCCTTTTTCCTCTTAATGTTTTGAAAGAATATAGGATATACAGATAAGGAACTTTTGAGCATTGATTTAATATGCAGGCATGGTGGTCTGTCATTAAAAACTCCACAACCACTTGCTAGGGTGGCACCACAGTGCCTTTTGGCATAGTGCTCCCTGTTAATGTGTAGTAGTGGAAGCTGTCTCTGGTGCTGTCCATTGTCAGCCTCCAGGCAGATGAGGCTGTGACTGCTAGGGCAGACAGTGTTGTTTTAAAACATTCATACTCTGAACCCTGTACAGCCCTAAGAGAAGAGGCATCTTCTTATGTGAAAATATCACCCTTGTCAGAGTGGACTGCCCTTTGTCTACTCATCAAACCCTTCTATTACTTCAAGATTTCTAAAGGAGGCCCAGGTAGTGGTGGCACACACCTTTGATTTTAGCACTCAGGAGGCAGAGGCAGGTAGATCTATGAATTCGACACTACTCTGGTCTATAGAGTGAGTTCCATAATAGCCAGGGCTATATAGTGAAACCTTGTCTCAGAAAGAAAGAAAGAAAGAAAGAAGGGAGGGAGGGAGGGAGGGAGGGAGGGAGGGAGGGAGGGAGGGAGGGAAGGAAACTTGTAAAGGTAGACACAGACATTCTCCAGGTGTACAGATTCTGTAGAAGCTCTGTCTGTGAAAGCAGTAACCTTACTGTCTGAGCGAGCGAGTGACACTTGCTCTTGTCCCTCATGAACCATCCATCAGAAGAGTAAGAGAGGAGCAGTACCATAAAACAAGGAAAATGGATGACAGACAGAGGTGGGGGTTCAGAGTGTACCCCATCTTCTCCCTCCTTTTAATGTGTTCAATCTTCTCTATAGGTTCATTTTGTTGTTTTGTGGGGTTTTTTTTTGGGGGGGGGTACTAGGAGATGTTGATTCATGGTAGTGTCACAGGTTACATTCATAAACACATTTCCCCCTGTGAACTCTAGTGTACACTGGCAGTAGTTAGGACACAGAGTTGTGATGTGATTGCATAGTCAGTGAGTATCAGGAAGGCAGTAGTTGGAAAGTCTGGGTGAGTTCCTTATTCCTTCTCTGTTTCTGGGCCTCAGATGGATTTAGAGATTTGCCCACAATGAATAACAAAAATACCTCTTGACTGTTCATCACCTCATCTGACTAACTACGTCACTTTACATCCCATATAGTGTGTATATGTATGTGTGCACCACACAAAAATCACATGTACCACACACTATATACACATTCTACATACCAGATACTACAAATACATATACCACAACACACCAGACATTTTAGACATCACGCAAGCTACAGTAGATATGCTACACACACAAGTCATAGGCATCTTCCCCACATACTCACAAACCACACACTACACCAGACATCACACACCGGATATTAATCACTGTACATGCACATCACATACATCACATACTACTTTTGAATGAAAGGATCCACTTAAAGCATGAAACAAAATATTGCTCCCATAGGTCCTTTAAAAATCTGGAAAGTACTCATCCCTTCTTAAATATCTACATGGCATTTCTCTCTATGAAAAAAGTGTTTGTATGAATTGCATGGTAAATCAATGTAGCCCAGTAGTAAAATATGGAAACATAAGAAAAATAAGAAAATAAAAGATAAATGCTGCTGATTACTATTATTATTCATTTTTATTATATAATACCTTGAGTCTGAGCTACA